GCAGTGGTGAGGTCCCCCAATTCAAGCATCCTACAGCGTAGCAGCAGGGGGCTGTAGACCCGCGAGAAAAAGGAAATCCCACAGTTTTAAAATATAATGTTAGCAAAAAAGAGGGAAATAGGACGCCATAAATATCAATGTTGAAATTCTATAGAATGCAGAGGCTGTGAATGTTCAGTTTTGTTCGGATATATGGCAACAATAGCCTGTAGTTTAATCATGGTGTTTCTCTTCCTTAACAATTAGAATATTGAATCAAATTAAAATGTCATTTGAAACATGTAAACACTTGTGGGGAAAAACGCGATCTTTATGCCTTCTATAATTGAGCCTATGTCTCCTCCTAACTTCAATAACAGCAGGCTGTTGTGTGTAACACTGGTCTCCTGGGTTAGCGCGTTCTTTTCAAAGGTGTTAAATTCAGACACTGTCACAATCACCGCAATTCTTGCCAGGTTTGGTAAATCACAATGCGTGTACTAACTTAACTTGTTTACATTTTCTCCTCCCAGTATTTTGCACGTTAGGGCAGAATGTTCAAATGTTGTCATGCTTAGATTTCATATATTTTGTGTTTTAACGTCTTATTTTTACTTAAATATGTTCTTAATACTGTGTTTTAAACGCACAGTATCTAAATTCTGCCACCAGGGGGCTCTCAATCAAAACAATAACAATAACAAGACATGACGTCGAGGCTGGCGGGGAATCATGGGAGAGATTCTCTCCGCTCCTCAAAACACCAAATCTGTACATATTGTGCTTGGAGTTCTCCTAGAAACAGATGAAGATTCAGATGTATGGAATTGCACAAAATGAAAATGTGGTGATATTAGAGTATTTATTTGTAATTATTTTGCATTCACAATTGTATTGATGTATCAACAGTCTTATTTCTCTCAGGCTATGACTTCATTCTCCTCCTGTATATTGGACCAGTAGCCGTCTCTCTGTATGCAGAGATTTGTCCATCAGGTATTTTATACAGCAGAGCAGTGGATTGAATATCTACACATTCTGACATCGTGTTTGCCCTCTATGGCTGTCATAAAAGGTTAACGTTTAAGGAACATCAAAGATGGATGAAGTCATTATTTAAAAGCTCTTCTCTTAGCTGCTCTTCTTTAATTTTTATCCATAACATTGCTGAAAGAAATAACACTCCATTTCCTCGTCATCCATTTTCTTTTCTGCGTCAGACCTCCATGCCAAAAAAAAAAAAAAAATCACTATATGACTTCCCATTGTTTAAGGAAAAACCAATGAATAAAATATAAGTGAAAATTGTATTTTTCATATGAATAATGTAAAAGAGGGCACGCTGCTGGCGTCCACGTCTCAAGGTTAGACTACATTGTTAGTTTCCGTGCCCGGCCTCCGCTTTGTTCTTGTTTGGTATGAAATGAGAGTATCCCATTCTATTAAGTCGTCTGTTCTGAGGGACACTTTGCCTCCTCTGCAGGGATGTGTTATTCCAAGAACTTGAAAGCCAAATTCCAGACCCAGCAGGAGGTGTGTCGTGTCAAGGCAGTGCCATATGGTACGACTTGGAGAGTAAGCCAAAACTTTTCACCCCCAGCACCGTTTCCTTCACTCAGTCCCAATCAGCTGCTTCCTATCAGGAGGGGAATGGAAGGAAATAAGGAAAGGACTGAATAGACTGATATGCTCATATGATTGATGACATGGTAAATGTTAAATGAACTTGAGCTTGCTTGGAGCTTTTACCCCGCAGGTCACATCTTCTGTTTTAATATCTATGACGACATCAGGGATGTTCTCTCTAGAAAACGTCTTCCATTAATGTTGATTTCTGCTGCTGAGACGATTATGGAAAAACTTGAGTTGTGCATTAGAAGAGGAACCTTGTTTTGGAGCAGATTTTATTTGCAAAGCATGCTGGGAGAAAAGACAAAATACACTGTTTAAGACTGAGCTGTGAAAAGAAGATGCAAATTTGTAATGTTGTGAAATGTTAAACCGCTGCCCTCCAGCTGCCCCATGTGACGTGTAACTGATCACTTTATTCCAAAACTATTCTCGAAGGAAATTTAAGTTTGATGTTTGACTTGTAATCCAAAAACAAACCACTTACTCTAAATGTTTAATTCATAATTCCTGAAAAGACTGAAACGCTGTCTTTGAACAAATGGTAAATGGATTTGAGCTTGTATATTTATTTTCTCGTCTTCTGTCTACTCAAAGCACTTTCACTCTGCAGGTCACACCTACGCACTCACACACTGAGCAGAGTATGAGAGTGAGTCCATAGCATCAGCAGTAACTAATCCCATTCATACGATTCATATGACGCAGACGAAGCAGCAAGGGCAACTTGAGGTTAAGTGTCTTGCCCAAGGACACATCGGACATGTAGCTGCAGGAGCTGGGGATCGAACCCTCGACCTCCAGGTTAGTAGACGACTGCCGCCCCTGAAGCAGCAGCTAAGAGAAAACTGTGACACTCCAGTCATACAATTAATTTGTATAAACAGCGTAGACAATAAGTAGTGTTTACACAGTTCAGACAGTTCAAGACTCAAACTTATCTGGCACGATGTGATGAACACAGAAAAACAGAAGGATCTGTGAGGCCATTAGACTTATCTAGGCTTCTGTATCGATCGTCTGCTCCTTATTTATAGCATACAGACAAATAGGATAATCAATCATGAAACATTTGGGTTACAGTACATCGCATTACAAATGGGTCATCTCTTTTTTTTTTCTCTGCATCTGAGGCAGCGTCTTAAACTTTGACTGAATCAGAGAAAATGTGTGTTGTGGACTTTGACATTATTCTAGCAAACTGTTTATTGAGGTGCTCCAAAAAACATTTTGAATGTCATTAACTTTTTCTATTATTTTTTACTGTTTGCGTCAGAGCATCATCTGCAGAAAAAAAACGACTTGTTGCTGCTCCTTGCACGCCCTTGATCCATTAAAGTGATGTTTTATACAATGCATGCATCTTCTCTGTGCCTTAAATCTTTGTATATCATGGTGCGTTCAGATCCATAGCTAATCTGAGGGCCCTGACTCATCATTGTACTCTGTATGATCGAGTCAGCTGGCCTGCATTGTCTATGCATAGACTAAAAATCATTGGCATGTCCTTATTTATGAGGCTTTTCTTAACTTGCTTCCCTCATACCTGTGTAACTGTGTTCATGTGAAAAGTGCTGGTAGCTTCAGTCTTTGCTCCGGACGCAGTCACACAGCTTGTTGTTGTTATCTGTTCCCAAAGTGCGTCTTGAAATGGGGAAAAGGAGTTACAGGTATACAGATCCTGCAGCCTGATGATCTGTGTGTGGAGGAGAGATGGTCTCTTTAAATCTTTTTTAAAATGTTGAAGGTGTTGGAGGACGATGCTCCTGGCTGTAGATACTTTGATGAATGACTTCTCTGTGACTCAGGACATGTTGATCTGTGTTTGTAATTACTCTGTGTTTTATCTCTGTAACTTGTTTGCTGCTGCCCTTCTTGGACAGGACACTCTTGAAAATGAGATTCTTAATCTCAAGGTTTTCCTGGTTAAACTTTTTTTTTTTTTCAGAGTTTTGCCGTATTTAACATTTATTCTTTATTTTTTCCTGTGAGATGTCATAATGTGTGCTGTTAAATAATCAGGAACTTCACATTTTTACACCGCTGCTCTGTTTGAAACCCTCTGTCTGGTGATTCACTTGATTTGATTTCGTATCTTTGAGAGTTGTCGGCGCAGGCGTCTGCCTGAATGTACAATTACGTCTGGTCTCTGGCTAGACCATCTCTTTTTCTTTCCGCAGAGGTGCAGGCCTCGGCTTCAGATCTTCTGAGAGAACAACCTTTGTGAAGCTCATCCTTTGGAGGATCCAGCCTCTAAATTGGGACATAACGATTTGGACTTTCAGCTTTCATCACTCTTTGATGTAACCTTTTTTCAACGTCCGTTCAGCGAAACACGTCTAGCAATTGCCTGAATCTTGCAGTTCAGTTTGGCTCCCTGTGAAAACTTCACACAAGCCATGCAACAAAAGGCCTCTGTCGTTCGAGAGCCCAGTCTGCATGTCGACCGCTCTTGGATGATCAAGCAACAAGAAATCATCAGTCATCTTTATTAAAGGAAAAACATGCAACAAAAGTAGCCAAATATGTTTGAAATAAACACAAGATACCTTTGCCCTCATGAAAGGATAAGCCACTTGCTCCAATCATTCCCCTATATCCTACTGATACATTACATCACCTATACCTTATGGCCTGTTGTCTGCTCTGTAACTAAAACAGCATTGCCCCCTTCAACAGACCCAGGCTCTGTACATGTGACAATGCTGAGGCTACCTACTGACCACATGGCCCCTCTTGGCCCCAACAACTCAACTGTGTAGACCGATGGGCAGCAAGAGCGAGGACATCGGGGTTGTCAAGTAGGAACTTTCCTTCACCGATGATTCATTCAATTAGTCCCACCACACCTCGGGAAGGCTGGACATTTCACTCGGGCGTCCCGGAGCAAAACCCCTCAATTCTAGCTCTCACAACCTAACATACCCACACGTACTTAACAATTAGTTAAGCTTTAAAAAAAAAAACACTTTTACAAAACATATTTTCTAATTCTAAGCAGTTTGAAAAATATATTCAAATGTGATTTTTTTTTTTTAAATGCAACTAACATCAACAGCTTTAAGGTTGTGGCGCCCACAGGGTCAGAATCACATTCCCAAAATTAAATCTTGTCAAATCCGCTACAAGGTTGTTTGGCCCATCTGCCAAACAGAAACCAAATAAAATGCAGAATCTTGTGAGAAGAGAAAAACAGAAGGTGCTTTATGACACCGACAACAAGCAAATCTGCAGAAGCAGCTCTGCAACAAACTCATGCATTTTAACAAACTGATTCTGTATCAAGCACAGAGCAGAAAGCTGTAACCAGACTTGAAGACATCCTGCAATAAGGGGCAGCTTAGTCAGCTTGCTAACATTTGCCAAGCACAAACAGAACGCCCTGAGCCAAGACATCTACTAAAAGCATAAACAGCAAAATACATACGGCGGTTTCCCGGCATCGCCGCAGTGAATGAACCCCTCTGGAAAAGTCACCATGGTCCAACGCTGCCAACAGCACAGAGGAGGCATCAGCATGTTGCCCTGAAGTGCTCGAGTCTGAGCACTCTGGTGTGAATAATAAGAGCAAGCAGAGGAAACTGTCAGGTTACAAAGGTCCAGCCTGCACACCTGTATGATGGACTGGATGTTACTACCAGTAAAGAAAATGTGCTGCAGTCACCCACTCTTCTTAGATAAGTGCTCATTCAGCTCTCTGGTGGAAAAAATGTTGGAAATACAAACTCACCACGGAGGAAGAGGGGACTTTTCAGCATGTCAGTCACTTGTAGCACAAAACATGCCCTGATAAAGGTAAACATGAATTAAATTAAAGAGCATGACTCTGTCTGAGAGAAGCTTTTTGACTTCTACAGCAGGAAAATGCAAAGGTGACACTCATTTTGTTAATGACGGCCCTGAATCTTTAAGAGTCCCATTAAGCAACACTGATGAGCTAGCATAGCAGGGCCTTGTAACTGCCCCACATTAAACCTGCTGTGATCCCTGTGGTGAAATGTCAGAATGGCTGATGCTGTTTGTAATTACTTAATTCTTCCTAACTCATTTGGTCATCTGGTCAGAGCTGCTACTGGTGACTGCTAGAAACTAATGTTACATAATGCTACTATTAGATGCTAACATTTAGCATAATAGTGCAATAATATAGCCTGGCTTCTCAGCTAAAAATGACACATGTTAGCATATTAGTGAGAACACCACAATGTTGCTAATGGCCTCAGCCCAATGGAAACACTTATTTGGGTGAAAGAAGAGGAGGAAAACCAAAAACACAAGAGAATATGACATAAATGATCCAGGTCCACGGCACCCGGGATGGTTTATAAATATGAAAAGATGCTTGAAATACACCGTCATGCATTGGCTTCATCAGGAAGTAGATTACACTATTAAATGTTTCTATCACTGTTTTATTTTTTTTTTTTTATATTTCTTTGTATGGACCTGGATCAGTCATACGATGATGTTTTTGGTCTAAAGTTATTGTAGACAATGTAGACATGTCCTAGATTAGATCGGCCTAGCTGTTACACACCTGAGACAATGGAGCTGTTCTATTTCAATATGCTGTTGGCCACTTAAATAATAATTTTGGATAATAAGGAATACTGTAACTATCAGAGAACACCAGATCAAGGATTGTTTCCAACTCAGTGGTTTGTTGATACAGACAGAGGAGCACAGATGTGGCGTTCCAGTCCAATCGTTTAGTTTTCTTTAGTTTCAAGTGGTTTCCATAGCAACAAAGGCAAAAGAGTATCTACAGAAAATAAATCCAGACATCATCATCATCAAAAGAAAAGTTGATTCTCAGCATTCAAAGAAATGCATATCCAGGATTAAAGGTCTAACGAAACCAAAGCTGAGTAAATCAGTGGAGTAAATAAAGCATGAGCTATTTAAATGTCACTTTAACAAAGGAGACTTATATATTTAAGAACCCAGTTCAAGAGCTATCAGCAGTGATGAGGCGTCCACATGAAGTCAGCCAGCTCCATGGTTCCCACAGAGTTTGCAGCAGGTGAGCCGGCTGCCCTTTAATTGCTCTGAAGCTCCGCCCATCCAGGAAACACAGAGCCAGGTAAAGGAGGGTCAGAGCTAAATCATCTGTAAAATGAAATAAAATACAGATGTAAAGGTTCCTATTGTCAGAACCCCAAAGAGTTTTTGGTTGCCTAGGTTACAGCAGCAGGTCTTATATACACGACCACTACTTTATTCATCAGCCTGATTTTGTTTTTAACTACGGTGGCCCTGAAAACAATGTAAACAAAATGCCTACATGGACAAGAAATGACGTATGACTGTTGCTGAGGACAAACTACTTGTTTGTCCAATCACAAACAAGTAGTAAAGTCCTTCCCTTTCCGGTTTGTTAAATATATTTCGCAGTTGGTATAAAAAAATTGCAGCAACTGAAATACATTTCACTGTCCCTGAAAACGTTTTTGTGTTTCATGAAATACTTTTGCATGTAGTGAAATGTTTTTTTCCACAATCTTGAAATATTTGCAAAGTTGACCTTCAGGGCCACCGTATTTAACTCTTTTTATAAAGTTTTTTAAAAGTCGTCTAGCGCAGGGGTTCCCAAACGTTTCATCCTGAGACCCCCAAAATAAGAGTCCGGGGACCCCCCTCTGTCCCTGGAGGTGGTTAAAGCATAAAGTTGCACACAGCAGCACGCACTAATAGGCTGATCAAACACTGACAATAGAACAACACAAAAAAAAACACAGCAGCCTTAAAATAATGATATTATTTCAGTGTGTCTGTGTGAATTCTTATTTACAAAGAGCAAAACAGATACCTACATTGTTACTGTCATGTGCAAACTCAAATTTTCACTTTCATTTCAGCACAAATCTCACTTAAGGACTATGGATTCATTTA